AGGAGCATCCAACGACGTTTTTCTGTGAAATAACTGTGGGAAGACACAAGGAAGGAGGAAATGTTGCCTAGAAAATCTGAAGAACGGTGACTGGACGTTTCGCCTATGATACGTTTCCCAAACGTCCCTTTCGCGAACGTCTTATGTCGTTCCGTTAAGAAGCGAATCGAGCGCTGTGCATGTAAATGCTTCGTTCTCTCAGCCATGATACAAAAACGCAACTTTCGTCGAATTTTCGACCGGACCCATAAAGGTCGCAAACGTTTTCTGATCAGAAGAAAAATATGCACCTAAACTTTCGAGACGACGAAAGTTCACCTAAGACGTCCAAACATAAATAATTTTTACGGCAGCTTCAAATATACCAAACAGGCCTCTAAATCATAGAGAAAACCATTCGAGACACATCGGATATATTTACTTTGGAAACAAAAAAGTTTAAGATGACTCCTTAGATGCATGGCTTTTTCGTCTCATCCGAAATTGTTAGCTACCCTAACAGGCCTCTAAATCATAGAGAAAACCATTCGAGACACTTCCGATATATTTACTTTGGAAACAAAAAAGTTTAAGATGACTACTTAGATGCATGGCTTTTTCGTCTCATCCTAAACTGTTAGCTACCCTGACGAGTCTTGTCGAAAGTTCTAGGACATGGAGTAGCTGTACTTTCTAGTCTAGGGGACGTTTTTTCTTTAAATATATAACGAAATTCAAGAGTTGATCAAGAGACCTTTTTAAAATGCAAAAAGAATAGGAAGTCTAGAGGACGTATTCTGAGTTTTGCTACGAAAGTGTCTCGAATAATCTCTCTAATAACTCAAATGTAAAAGTAAAACGTTTCTAATACAATGACTGTTTAGATTGCAAAATACACTTAAATAAGTCACTTTTATGGGACGGCCCTCTCGGCGATCGCTGCGAAAACGAAGACCGCCGAAAACGGCCGCCACGTAGATGCGGCATCAAGCAAAAGCTCAGAAATTCAAGCGTACTCTATCACAAAACGAAGAACCCTATCGAAGTGAAATTTTGAAAACATATTAGTTTTTAGCTGCTCTTAAACTTCATGAATGTAAAAACTTCGGAGGATCGATAATTCTTTAGACTGATTTTTGATGACGTCCTATGAAAACCATCAATTTTGAGTAGTGTAGGAGC